TTCGAACACTGCCTGAATTACATCAATGCTTTAACAGTTTATTAGCCATACCTGTTTATGTTGTGTTTCAGAGATAGCATGGTGATCAGTGGCAGAAAGACTGCCCTCTTTAGCCAACCTAGGAGACTTTTGAAGCTTTTCTCTTTTATAGCAGCGCCATGCTATTTGCAAAACACAAGCTGCCCTTGGTTCTCATTGCTGCAAACCAAAGCTGTTAGAGTTCCTCAGCTCCATGCTGAAAAGCCACCAGAATTTAGAGACCACATGTTTCAAATCATTGGCTTTGAGAGCAAACACTTCCACTTTCGTCTCAGCTTGGACTGTTTTGGTTGAGATGGGGAGGTTGGATAATGTAGGAGCCGGACAAGTCTTGAGCACCAAATCCAGAAGTTCTTCTCCATAGAAATCACCTTTTTCAAGAGAATTATAGCGCCTTCACCGCAAGTACTGCTGAAGTAAGCCAAGACCTTCCCACTTGTGATAAACAGCATCTCATCAAGTGGATCTTCTTTTCGAAATATATATGAAGCTATGCTCTATGTAAAGCACTGGCTTCAAATGCTCGCAGATTGCATCCAGCAGTCGTTTGTTCAAGTCAAATAAGTTCAGAAAAACCTAGGCCTACCAAAATATCATCCCATCATCATCATGTACAAGACTTCTTTTGATAAACTTCAACAAGAATTATAGGGGGGGACAAATTCAACAAGTCTCACTTTGGTGAGTGGACCTGAGCAAAGATGGCGCTTTGTATCCCTCCTGAGGTCCCTGGGAAGATTGTGCAGAAAATTCTCCACATCGACGCCTCTGGTTTCTTGCCATTTGTATTTCTCATATTGCCGTATCCACACTTCTTAAGCTTCCAAGGAAGGGAATGGAAAGCCATCCAAAATTCTATATCTTGCCCCTTCAATCTCATTTCCTCCAATCTTGCAGTTTTTTACTGCAAATATGTCTGTTCCACAACAAAACACAGTTCATCATGTGATGTCCCAAAGGATTTCTTGTCAAAGAAGTCTAATTTCTGAGTATTATCCAACAACAATGCATTTAGATGAATGGATAAGATTTAGCAGCAGGGGAAATAAACGTATTCATAACACCAACCCTGCATATTCTACCTAGACCAGCATGCACCAGGTCTTATTCCTCAAACAGACATGAAGGGAATCACACAAACTATATGGCTGCACTTTCCAAACTTTATGTGGTTGCAGATTTATTAATCAAATTAAATTTGTAATTGAATATTTTGTTTGAGTGAGTAAGATTGAAGACGCTAAGGACAAGAAAGTTACTCTTGGCGGACCTACCCAACGACATCATTCTCAACATTCTCACGAGACTTCCCACACAATCAATTTGTCGCATCCAGTGTATTTCCAAGTCATTTTTCAACCTAGTTGACTGCTCATTCTTTGCTACACTTCACACATCACGCTGCATCAACAACCCTGGTGTTGTTGAAGTACCTCAACTTATGCTTATTACTAGCTCTCGTACTCGACATGACAAATTCACCATGGTATTCCGGTCATTGAAGTACAATGGAGACTACGTCTTAAGAGAAATCAAAAATAGTTTTCTTGTCTCAAAGATTCTTAAGTCGTGGAAATCATTTCGAGCTAGATTGTGTTTTTAGCAACTTTTTTTTCTTCAAAAGTAGATTTGGATGCAAAGATCCATGCTTTTAATTTTATTTATTTTTAAATAAACCAAAGGATTAGGCAAGATTAGCTCTTCAATATTGGCCATCATATGCACAAACATCCACCACCCTTAAAGAGGAGACCAACACTTTGGAAGCCCCACGCCTGTCCCCTTGATCATAACTTATTAATAAGAAACAAAAAAGAGATACAAGAACAACAGGGGGGACCAAACCAAAACCTGCAGAAGAGAAAGACAATGACATAAATGCACAACAACAAAGCTTGCATGGAAATCATATAATTTCTTTTGATTTCAAGAAAGAGAAATTTAATTGGATACCTCATCCCAACTTGGATGGTTTTTTCTATTTTGATGACCTGCATTTGCTTAATATAAGGGGGTGTTTGGTAATCCTGGATCTTTCTGTTTCACCATCACGGATTATCAAGATATATATGGGTGTTGAATAATTATAGTAAAAAAGAGTGGATTTTAGATTACAAAATAGCAACCCCCCATGTTCAGAACTTTTGTTCGGCCTTATGGAAAATGGGAGCATGACATATTTTTCAAGAAAAATGAGGATCATGTTTACTACTTTATGGATCTAAGATGCGGTTCCATCAAACAAGCAACACTAGAAACTTTATTCCCAAGTGTAGTTTTACTTATTGGGAAGTGCTATACAATGCTTTATAATTATACTTAAGAACTAAAATATCGATAATATCGACGAAATATCGAGGATATTATCCTTTTTTCGAGTCTAGGATATTTTGGAACATATCCATACACATATCGTAAGTGTCGATAATATCGAAAAATATCGACATCGATAATTTCCCTCGCACTTCAGCAACATTTGACCAAAATATCACTATAATATCGATAATATCAAGATGATGAAGACATAAAAAAATTTGAAGAGTTATTTACACTAACAGCCTCGAAGTTTCTTGTGTTTTCATAAAACCTCCTCATGTCTCAAAAATTACACGAACTCCCTTAAGGTTTTAGTTCGTTTTCACAAAACCCCTTTTCGTTGATTATTTGTCAAAATCTTGATGATTTCATTGAAAAAAAACTTATACAAATGACAAAATTAACCTCAATGAAGTATATGCAATCTAATCTCAAAGCCAACTTTGTCATTTGGATAATTTTTTTTTGGTATAAAATCAACTTAAATCAGTTAAACCCATCATGCAAAATATTTCCTTCCAAATTTTTGTGATAAAGTAATAGATAATTGACTAAATAAACATCATTCAAAGTTTCAAGAAAAATTTCCAAGTTTTTCTTACAATTTCCATGATTTTTATTCAATTTGATATCGATAATATCCCGATATTTTCATAGAATTTTCCATATTTTTTAACTACCAATATTTTTGAAACCATTGATATTTTAACCACACACCTTGACAGCTTGTTCTAAACCTTAGGGCTTACTTAATATACATTATCTATATGTCTCTTTGAGTAGACAAAACCCAAGGGAACACAATGATGGATTGTCCTCGAGGGGCCCTCAACCATATATATGGTTCAGTAGCTGTTTAAAGAAAAAATGAAAAAATGAAAAAATGAAAATTGACGTGTGTCTAGTTAGCTAAGATAGTGAGTTCGTCATCTTACACCCAAATTTGAATCTCCCATTTTGTATATTAAAGTAGTTTAGACTACTGAAAAAATATTCATCAAACACAAAATATACAATGAAAATAATGGACCCAAATGGAATTATCAAGGTAACTTCAAGATTGCAAAATAGATACACGTTGCAACCATCCTATATCAACTCTTGAACACTTCCTTGGCTCTCTTTGTCTGACATGAGTATAGCAGATTGGTTGAGCAAATAAGTTCAAAACAATCGATTAAAAGACGGGTCTTGTCTGCTGAATCAATTTCTAGTTGCTGTTGGTAAGTTTCTTTGCTTTTGCTTTTAAGTGACTTCCCGCAAGCCAACTTGTTTTTTTGGCCTTTGTATGTCTTGCCTACACTCGAACAAATCTCCAAGCAATCATCAAATCCAATGCTGGAAAAAGAGAAAAAAAAAGGCAAAAGAAAAGGAATGTTATTCGCCCACCGTGGGGCTCGAACCCACGACCACAAGGTTAAGAGCCTTGCGCTCTACCAACTGAGCTAGACGGGCTGTTGCAAGTATTTCCAGTTAAATAATATAAAGTATATTTCTTTTTTTGTTGATCGGGTCTTTGGCAACACTTGGATTCACAGCCCGAGGCCCAAAAATAACGGAATCGGATTATGTCCAGATTAGTAAACCACTTCCACGCCCGACTCTTCCAGCTTCACCCATCCCGACCGACGCTTGAACAGAGCTAAGACCCCAGCCAATAACTGTCGGCCCCGTCCAGATTCCGTCCGTCTCCGGCGAGCTCGTATCAGGTGACTCTTTATGTCTCTGTCATTCGCATCTCTTTGTATCTCTCTCGTTCGCGTGTTTCTCAATTTCTCCGTTTGTTGTTTGTCGAATAAAGAATTGATGAACTGGGTTTTGTTTAATAATTGATATTTTGTGATTTAACTGCCGCCTGAGTCGCTGGGCAAGGCGTGCCCACCATGTGTTCGACGATTTGTCCCAATGAAGCAGCAGGGGTGCGCGCAGTTTGTTTGGTTTGCTTCTCAGAGTCAGACAATGCCACATTGCCATCATTACTCTCTTCCGGCGTTAATGCAACATGGCTTGATCTTCCTGCTTCTGCATGCCCCAAAATCCCATTCTTTGCCAAACCATATTTTCCTTTAGGATCTTTAGAAAAAGATTGAGAAAACACAGCCACAGGCTTAGTTTCCGTCGTATTAACCTTGAATGCCACTTTTTTTTTGTTTAAGTGGTTAAAACTTTCAATGTGGTTCATACAATTCTTTAAGTGCTCATTTGGTAATATGATGATTGGGACCATTGCCCTTGATCATAAATATTATCTTGGATGAAATTAGAAAATGATGAATATGTGTATGGTGCTCATGACTCATGGCGTGGTTTGACAAATACTCCTATATTTGTCAAATGATTTGCTCAAATACACATCATGGCGTGCTTACCCAATGCTTTAGCTCCTTTAAACTATTTTGCTACTTATACTGTATCGTTGGTTGCCTTCATACGCATTATGCACTTTCATTATCTATGAATAAGTTTTTTCACATTTCAGTTTCCTTTTTATATGCTTTGCATCTTTGAAGACATTATTTTCATGAGGATGATATATGAGTGGGTTCATGGATGATGGCTATGACAATGTTGCAAGACATTCATATGTTCAGCTTCACACAAATTGATGCCGAATTATGACTTTTTTTCCCTTTTAAATTACAGTAATGGCCTTGAGAACAGTGACAAGGAAGTTAGGGAGTAAACTATTACCCAGGTTTTCTCCTGCGTCTCTATTGCATTCACATGCCACAAGTTTCGGTTAGCTCTCTCTCCCTTTCTCAGTTTTGTTCGTGTGCATGCTTTAATGTATAATTTATTCAAGAAAAAGGAGTCAGTGGTTAGCGTAGTGTGTGCAAAATATGAATATTGAACCCTAACTTCTAATTTTGTGTTGTGGCGCAGTGAATGTTGTATTAGTTCAAACAAAAATTACCTTGGTTCAGTTGGTTGGTAAATAATAATCGATTAGTGTATGATTTGCAGGATTTAAAGAAGTAAGGGAAGACGAAAAAAGTCGAATGGTTGGTGATGTCTTCAGCAATGTTGCTTCAAACTATGATCTAATGAATGATGTAATGAGTGCAGGATTACACAGATTATGGAAGGACAGGTTCGCATCTTGAAATTTTACCTTTATGCTTTGTTTTTATCTATCTAAACTTTTATCAAACAAGCATATTACTGTATTTTTCCTTTCCATGACTCTATACATCTGCCCAAATTTTCAGGTTAGTTTCCAAACTAAATCCTTTTCCTGGAATGAAGCATCTTGATGTGGCTGGTGGGACAGGTGAGCTTGTGATATGCATTTATATATGATAAATTCGTCAAATTATGTGAACCATAAGACTTTGGGACACATGTATTTTATCAGGTATTTTTCTGTAGTAACAAGTGGTATTAATGTTACCAAATTACCAAATATTATGATGCTACCGTAGTTTCTGGGTTCAATTATCATTTTGAGGTACATATTTTTCACAATTTTCTTTAGAGAAACTAAAAATACATTTTAGATGCAGCCTTCTAGCTGATCTGTGTCTTTATATCTCCTTGCAAAAGGAGAAGGTCCAAGTATGAAATCCAGTTTGAATTCTCTACATTTACGAACCTTTGTATGCTGCTCGTGCACGTGGTTCAGTTTTGGGTATTTTAAAATAAAGCTTACATTCCTATCACTAAATATTGAATCCAGTTTGGGTTGGGTAGAGATCTGACTTATGGAGTGGGCCAATGATGCAGTTAGCCAGACAGAGTTAGTAGGTATCCAAAAATTTCCGTCAGACCAGAATGGACTGGAATTGCCCTTGGGTCGGAATGACACCATCCCATTCTGCATTATGGGGTGGATGGTGATTTTGTGGGTATATTACCTGCAGGGTGCAGGAGTGCATCTACCATTGAAAAATAGAATTCTTAACCATTCTCCTTTTCAGAGATCTCCTATTCCTAACCTGAATGTAGCTGCTATAATGCTACATGACATTGTGTTTTCCTTGCCTGGAATGGTATTGAAATGAACTGCTTTGGTCTAACCTAGTTTTACGCTCTTCTGAGAATCTTTGGATTATATATGTCAATCTTACTGTTATTTTTTAAAATATTATTGTTTTGTCAGGCGATGTTGCTTTCAGGATACTAGACTCTATAAACAGCATCAGACGGAGAGCTATGCAAGATGTTCTTGAAGATGATTTACAAGAAGAGACTAAGGTTTATGTATCTGACATAAACCCTAACATGTTGAATGTTGGTAAAAAGCGGGCCTTGGAGAGAGGTAAAATTAATGATGTGAACTTTGACTTTTGTTGGATTAGACATTCTCCTTAAAGGACAAATAAGTTTCTACTTTTAAGATCGTGTACTGAAATTTATAGGTCTTGGAGAAGACAAATCCCTGCAATGGGTGGAGGGAGATGCAGAAGCCTTGAGCTTTGGAGATAATACAATGGATGGTTACACAATTGCATTTGGGATTAGGAATGTTACACACATAGAGAAAGTGCTTTCTGAAGCTTATAGGTAAGGTCAAACCTTTGTACTGATTAACCGATTCTAGTAGTTAATAACCAATACGTGGAAAATTATCATCGTATTAAATTGGTAGGTCTTGAACAGGCTACCACTCCGTGCATATGAATGTGGCTTTTAGTTGTTAGGCTTGCATCAAGACTGAATCAATGCATTATATGGTCTACTGTTGAATACGCAACTTATTTGAATTTTTTTAAGCACATCATGTCCAGCAGTTTATTTTATTTTTGGATTTATAACTCTAGTGATACTGCTTGAGTAGTTAAATTGTCCCTCCTTGTGACTGCTATTTTGGTTGTCTCAAATTGCTTATTCTCATGATGGAGCTTTTAAAATTGGAGGGAAGGATTGTGAGACATTACCTCCCTGTCTCTATGAGAGGTTATATACAACTAGGAAAACTTATAAAACATTTTTGAGACGATTGATAATCTATTTCTTGGCTTTTCCATAAAGAAGAATACAAATATCTAAAAGGTTTCCAAAGTTTGATATTTGAATGTGTTCCCTTAGAAAGAATCATATTTGCTCAATGTCATACAACTGATGAACCAATATCTAGAGCTACAATGGGTAAAAAGAACCAGATGAAAGCCTTAGAGACATTTTTCATTGGTGTGGGCCAAAGCCTGTGACCAATCTTGTTATTTGTGTGCACATGCAGTTTTAAATGACCAAACTATGAAAGCTAATATGGTGAGTGTATATTACTGAGGGGATGAAAAGTGAGATGAAACTACTGGTATAGCACTTGACCAAAATGAAACTAAAGGTATATAACTGACTTATGCTTTTTTTTATTTTCTGCACTCTAAGAATTAGTACTAAAATATGTAGTGACCTGTGAAACAATCTTCTGCTAGGGCATTTCTACAGTGGATCTATTATCATTTCTTATGCTGGTCTTTTTATTTTTATGTCAAATTGATATGCTATGGTGTTTGCTTTTTATGATCTTGTTAATAGGGTGCTAAAACATGGAGGAAGGTTCTTGTGTCTTGAACTGAGCCATGTAGAAGTTCCTGTCTTTAAGCAATTGTAAGCATTATTGACACTTTTTTCTTGTTGACAAAAGTGATATTCTAAACTATTCTAATGTACCTCGGGGGGCAGGGGCACACTGCCTTGGCCAACTCCCACATTTGCGCATTATTGACACTTCAGTTTGGTTAAAGTAAGACTTGGTAAACCACTTGCTTACTTATGTCAGAATTTCATTTTATTATCACTGGTATTGTCATCCTCATCATCTTTGTACAAGAAATATCGAAGTCTCATAGTTGGCTGCATAGATCTTTTTCTAAGAAATTTTTAGAAAATGATTTTCTGTGAACTTTATCCTGCTGTTAGGAATGTTTGACGCTCCAGCTGCTTACTCGAAATGTTATATTGAAGTTCCTCATCCCATAAAAGAAAAGGAAAAGGAAATGCTAACTCGAAGTTACGTTAAATTTATTTCTCTCTTGTTACAAGCACCATATGCAAGACACTTAGAATGTGCATTTGTGTATCATTTAATATTCACTAAGCTCAAGCTTAGTGAACAATATATTGCTCCATGTTATGGGTTGCAACTTGCAATTGAGGATGTAGGACAATCGTGAAGTGCCACATGGTTGGGATTTAGCACGGCACCAGATGGCAGCGTTGCTCACCATAGTGTGAGCAAGTGTCATGCACTATTTTGTATCAATGTTTGATTATGTTGTCATTTGATGGACCCTTGTTCTTTCTTTCTTGTGTGTTTGTATAGGTTGTGTATTTTAAGGTTTCCTTATTTCTTCATGCAGCTATGATTATTACTCATTCTCAATCATTCCTGCACTGGGAGAGCTCGTTGCAGGAGATAGAGAATCTTATCAGTACTTGGTAGAGAGTATCCGCCGTTTCCCCCCACAGGTTTTATTTTCAGCTTCCATATTTTAATACTCCATTTCAGTTTTATCTGCAAATTGTTTGGATATTGCTAGTAGTTCTTTTGTAACTTTTGTTAAATGCCCTTACAATTTATCTTAATTGATTATTGCAGGAGACATTTGCTTCAATGATTGCAGATGCAGGTTTCCAGAAGGTGGAATATGAAAATCTTGTTGGAGGAGTGGTTGCGATTCATTCAGGATTAAAAATATAGTAGTGTAGTTATGAATTTTAATCTAAAAGAATCTCAAAATTCTGCTTGAACAATTTTTGGCTTTGAGCTTTTTGTTTTGCCTACCTTCCTTCAGATCAAATGTAAGAAATTAAATAGGTGACCAAATGATTTTTTGTCTTGTCCTATATAAAAATTCAATAGATAATTTGTTGTATATTGTTTCACAATTTTGGCCATGAGTATGGGTATGTGCTTCACACTTTGAAACTATGAATCCCCAAAATCTCTCTCTCTCTCTCTCTCTCTCTCACCAAAATATGACAATTTATCCATTACCAGTTTTCCCAATGATTTGGATCCACATTATCCTAACCCGCAATTAAACTATTATGGTTGTATTGTCAGGATGAACTCTTAGCAGATGAGCCTTCCAATTTTCCCAATCTTGACATGAAGCCAACTGTGAATATGATAAGAGAAGAACAAATTAAGGAAAAATATTTGGATTATTTTATAAATTGACACATTACCAGCAAAGGCAAGCATGTATAACACTCATTCAGAAGATACTGATAACAAGTTCTCTGTTTCATAAGGATACGGAAAAAACAGCGAAGTAGTATAAAACTTAAAACTTGGTATTATTTTTCTTCTCCTCAACTTTGAGTTTAAAATAAATAACATTTGTCAACGAGGTCTAGCCCAATAAAAAAAGGCCCGTGACTTGCACATTAGTGGTCTCATGTTCGCACCTCCATGGCACCTTGGTAGTGTGTGTGAAACTCCCCTTTGTAGTTTAAACTATCGCTTGTGTTAAAAACAAAAGAAAAAAAACCTTTGAGACGTGTTCTTTCAATTACCTACATGAGATTAAATGTTATATTTGATCGTGTCTCAAGTGGGCTGCATGTGTCTCTTTCTTCTATTTTTATTTGGAATATTACTCTTTTTGGCCCAAAGACCTTTTCTTATCAAAATGTTTTATTATCACCAAAATTTCGACAATTTTTAGTAAAAGTGAAGCAGCTACGCATTTGGTTGTAAAAGTAGTGTGAGTATAAAAAGCAATGTCATAGCATTTAGTGACATTTTTTGGTGGAAGTGTTGTGACTGTATATAATGACAAAAAGAACATGATATTGAAAATGTTATTTATTTATTTATATATATTTAGGGTCAAAAGTAAATAATAAACAAACCAGCTCGTTTCCCCTATAATCCACCCATAGGCCCGTTTAGTTCACGTCCGTTTGATTCACGGAACGAATTTGAGGAAAACCACTTTCCATGTCAATTTCCTCTTTCCATCATTCCCCATTTTTTTCCCTTTCTTGTCGTCCAGTGTTTTACACCTTTAAATTTTTAAAAAAGAACCGCAATACCTAACCCACCCTTAAACCCTAGAATCTTAACCCTGTTGCCCAATCCTTAAACCCCGCCAGAATACAGCAAGAAAAAAACGAAAAGAAAAAAAAACCTTAAACCTCCATAAACCTTCTGTACAACTCCTCCTCCCCTCTCTTATGCAACGCATTAAACTCAAGCAACTCCGGGTTTGAACTCCAATCCTCCTCCCGTCGCTTTTCATCTTCTTCCCAAACGGTCGCTTTTCATCATCTCCGCCGAAGCATCCGCACCTACCCAAAACCGAGTCACAAGCATTGCAAGTCTGCAATAGAATTGGGTTGTTTGTTTAAATTGGATTGATTTTGTTGGAGAGAAGTTTTTGTTTTGTTCTCAATATGGGAAAGCAATCAGCTCAGAACCCAAGTAAGTTTTTTGTTTGGCTGCCAATGACCCAAGTACCTGTTGATTTACTATAATTCAATCTTTTATGTTTTTCTTATCATAGAAACTTCAATCTTTCAGTATTATTCTTCCTTTTAGCTTTGTGTTTATATATATTTTTTCTTCTTTAAAGCAATAATTACTGGTGAGACAATTTTTTATTTTTTTCTTTCTTTAACAGGATTTGGGAAACGCAAAATACCCAACAAGTTCAACACAGGCAGGAAAACTCGTCGTCTTGAGGAAGAAAATGTTGCACATAGCCCCTCCTCTACTTCCTCAGGCATGTTAACTTTATAGTGTTTTGGGAAATTCCTAATGTGCGTTAGTTTTAACTTTTAATTTAATAATAACTCTACTTCCTCAGCCATGTTACATATTTGAACTTTATAGTGATTTGGGGGATTCCGAATGTGTGTTAGTTTTAACTTTTAATCTAATAATAAATTGTCTTTTCTTTTTTCTTTTCCTTTTAGCTGTTTTGTGGGCTGAATTTGTTCCTTAAAATTAGTACTTGAGATAATCACTGTTTTCCTTCAAGTTAGTTTGATTCCTGTTGTACTATTGAGGGTTTGCATCCAATTACTATCATAAGGGAGTTTCGATATTTAGTTGATGTTGATGCCTAATTATTGGAATATTCAAGATCAGGGTACTTTTTCTAATACAGGGGAACTACCAAAGGAAGAATCTAACGGTGTGTCTGAAGATGAAATGGTTTATAAAGAGCCATCCATGTATGATAAATTGTTAATGACGCTAGGGTCATCTAGTAAATCTGTTGCTGCTGCATATAAACAAAGGTAACACTCTTCTCAAATTCCTGAATTCATTTTCAGTCTGTAAGTGTGTACTTATTGTATGTAATTAAAAGAAATTTTGTGCCCCCATTATGAAGTGTACATAAGGCGGTGACTTTTGGTTGTTCAAGTATGTTTTGGCTCTTGTATTCACTTATTAGCTGTGTCATGCTCTATTCAGCCAGATCTAAGCTTAGGATCTGAATTATGGTTTATAATGTTCCTAGGCGCCTCCAGGAGTCAAGTACTCCTTTTGAGGGTGTACTCTAGGAATCAGCTACTCCATATGTTGTCGACTTCTTTACTTCGCAAAAGAAAAAGAGGAAAAAAATGGCCCTGCTGTCCTCTGTAACTCATTAAGGAATTCATTTTTTTTTGTTCTTTTTTATGCTTGTTTGATGAGGTATGTCAACACTTTGTGCTTAAGAAAAATATAAAGCTCAACCAAGTTGGATTCACAGCTGAGCTACATTTACGTTTAATTGATAGTAATGTAACTTTCTGGAGTTATTATTGGGCAGTATAATTTATATGTATGCTCTTTTCTGAATGTCATTTATTTCAAACGGGTTGATTTATTCAAGAAATTTACAAGTAACATGTTACCATCTGCTTCTTTCCTGTGTAGAAAAAGGCAAGAAGAAGGTTTAAGTGACACAGAAAAGGATGAAGATGATGGGACTGAATCTTCTAGTGACTCAGATGAAGAGGATGATAGTGAAGAAGGTAGAGCATTTATGATTTTCATACAAATGTTGGTAAATATGTTTGCGGTCTCAGCCCATTTATATTAAATTCCTTTAAATGATGCTTACTAGTGCATTTTCCTTTTGTAATGATTTGGTCTCCAGAACCCCATATATTTTTTCGTTCATTTTCCTTTTCGTTTTATGTAAGCAACCAAAAGCCCCTAATTAAGGTTCATATGGTCATATATCAATATTTTTATGGAAGGAAGACACTATTGTAGTCTGCATGAATGCTTAGTTACCTTTCCATCTCCTATGCAATATGAATTAAGATGAGGTCTATCTTCTTTACAGTACATTGTTTTTTTTTCTTATGCGGCGTATTGGTGTTCCCCGTTATGTAATTGAGTTATGGTGTTGTAGAGATGGATTAGTTTTTTTTTATCCGGATTCCGTCACTATGGATTGGGTTAATTAGTTTTAGGGACTGAGCCATGGGGAGCAAGGGTTTGGTGAGCATTGTTTCCTCATAAAGATCACACTACTGCATGGAGACTAAAGGAATGTAGTAAGTAGTAATTGGAATTCTAGGTTTGAGGGAAGAAAAGAAGTACTTTAGTATTGGTGTTCTGTTATATGCACTAGCTGACATCCTTTGCACAATAGAAGAGCAATCGAATGACAAAATCATTTCCACAATTGTACTAAACTTGATGAATTCTTTTGGGTTTTGATGCTGGAGAACGCCTTGCTCTTGTAAACGTGGTTAACTATCCACCATTGTGTTTATGCTCTTTTATTGTTAGGTTAGCTTAATAAACAACATTTATAAGCGCAAGTCAGCTTGACCTTTTGTCTTGTCCTTATTTGTTAGCTTGCTCTACACTGCATATTATTTAATCCTTGTAATGTTTGTACATAGGAGTTGATGATGAATTTCCTATGAAAGGAAAACCCAAAGACCCTGAAATAGCTGGTATTGAGGAACAGAGTGAAGATGCTGAAACTGAGGATGATCTGGAGACCTCTGACTTGGATGACCAGGAGAGCTACGACTCGGGTGTACGTGACCTGGGAATCAGTTGTCCGTCTGCTGTTGAAGCATCAATGTGCTTGAGGTGCATTTACATGAAATGTCGTGTTCATTTAGCTTTTATGTTTTTATCATGCGTTGAAATTTTCAGTGTGTTGTGTTAAGCTTGACGTAAATCACCACTAGCTTAAAGTTTAATTGCGGGTCCAACAATCTTGAGTGTCATGTGGCTGTAAAGTACCTATATTCACGTCCAAATATGAGTGCTAAGTGAGACAAGAGTGTAAGTTGGATGCCCCAACTGAATATAGGATGAAGGACAGTTTGGTTGAATGAGCGACCAATAAAGTTTGAGGTATGATAACGTATGACCTAAGTGAGAATATGACCTTAGATGGGATTGAATGGGCAAAAAGAATACTGTAGTTTCACACTATTTAATTGGAAGTAGGGTTGATTTATGTTTATCTATGATTCCATTGTAAGATTTATTTTGATCAATATATTTTGTACTTTCTTGGGAAAACAGAGAATAAATAACAATTTATCATGGTTATTTATTGTCACATTAGATTTTGTCAATTGGATAGATGCTATAAATGAAGCTCAGTTGAAGCGTATTTCAGTGAACATAAAATGGTTAAAGATTCTAATTCATTTGCCCTTTCCTCGGAAAGAGCAAGTTTCTTAGCTAGCCGAAATAGTTTTTTATTTGACCAAGGGACTTTTGTGTTTGGGAGTGTATGAAAAATGGATCTCTTACAGTAAATATGGGAATTTCTTTAGACTGAGTAAATATGATATTTTAAATGGGATGACATTCATAAATTTTCCTTTTTCGTTAACCATGGGAAGACAATAGAGGTGGTTGCGAATGTGCTGCAGCAAATAATGTTACATAGCCTGCTGCTTGGATTGGATAACATATTGACCCCGACTAGAAGTCTAGAGTTGATACCTAGAGGGCAGGTTTTGTTGTTATCAAGATTATACCACCAGTCTACCACTAGTATTAAGGGTTTTTTGATTCTTGATTCAGAAAACTAAGTATAATGCTTTTTGTACATGCACACACACACACACACACACATGTGCGCAAATGTATATTATATACATGCACACGCACATAAACAAAACAAGAAAAAGCCACATTAGGCCAACAAGAAAATGGAAAAGAAAAAAAAAGCGCCAAATTCAGAATTTCTTCCATTAATGCTTCTATGTCTATGAATCTTTGTTTTCTGGTGCTATCTGATTATGAATTTTTATGGCAGAACTTTGTAGGTATTTCCATTTTGGTAATCTGTTTTTTCATCTTTCAACCTCAGATTGTATTACATATATACACTTCATTCCCCTATTTTTTTTTTTTTAAATCTTGCAGTTCCTTTGATGTACACTTTGGGCACAAGTTAACAAAAGCAGAGGTTGAAAATCTGTCAAAAAAGAAATGGAAATATGAGTGGGAAGTGCCTGCTGTTGGGATGTCAAAGGGCAAGTGGGCTGGAACAGGAGAGTGTTTCATAAAAGTATGTCTCCTTTTTTTTTAACTGTGCTATATATGTTTTTCTGTACTTTGTAAAAAAGCTCTTGAAAGGATCTCTTTTGCTTTATTTTTTTATTTTTTATTTGTTTTATAATGTAAATCCTGGTATGGGCCGTGCAGCCTAAGGGCTACAAACTGGAGGTATCCTTTCCCATCCTCATACTCCTCCCAACCTAGTGGAGGCTCTTATTGATTTTTTCTTTTAGGTACATGGTCCATGTCTTACCTTGGCATACTAAGTATAGTATGCATGCATTATAATGAGCTAGTTTAATTGAAAATGCTTCTTATTCTGCAGTTTTCATATAATTATATTCATATATTCCTTTTTCTCTTTGAGTAATATTTTTCAGGATGACAACCCCAATTCTGGTTATGGTCTGAAGCCAAAGTTGTACAAGCACTGGTTGGATGTATATAACACATCTGGAGGCAATAATTTTCATTCATCTAGACAAAGATTATTCTTCTCCCTCTGTAAGTGTACCCAATTCTACTTGAATTGATGTCTTCTCAGTGTCATTTCTTGAGTTATATCATTGAGTTCAATAGAACATGTTTCCCCTCAGTTCTCCACTCACAGAAAAAGTTAATCTGATAATAATTCCATTTTGGATCTTATGTGGTTGAGTCTACCAACTTTGTTCTGAAAGCACTTCCTGATATGATTATGCAACTATGCTAAATATGTGCTAAACTTGATGTGATTTTTCTCTGACCTTTTCGTATGGAGCTTTAAACAATAAATTAATCTCGAGTACGGGTAAATCGAAATAGACTGTTCTTACCTTTATATTGTTTAGACTTGTCTTTTGAGTTGAAACTGCAGTTAATGATTGATTCCTATTCCTCATTAGTGGAGCTTTAGCATCCATAATCAAATTTATGAGAGCCTTTATTTGTGTTCTTCACTATACGATATTTAGTACAGGTTTGTAGTTTATCCAGTGTTTGTTGTTTCGTTGATCAAATAAATAAGATTTCTTTCATATGCCATGCTTCATCTGCCAGGACACCTCTGGGTTGATTCTGAGGTCAAAATTTTTAATTTCCAAGTCAATATAATTTGATTTCCTGCTGGGTTGGTCTAAAACTGGATACATGTCCTTGCTTCAGAGACAAAAAAAATTATGGATATAATGGTAACACCGCTGTGTTTCAGCCATGCATCCATTACTATGTTTTGGCATTTAGAAGGTAGGAATTAGCCATAGTCATTTACACTGGGCAAGTGGCTTCCGATTATGAGTTCATTGGAGCATTCCTTATAAACATGTACAGCAATGGTAGTGGGTTACTCATGCTTGAAAAGCTATTCTCATGTTTGCTTTTGTTTACCCTGAACTGAACTTGGATTTATCTTGATTTGAAATTTCAATCCAACTCTTATAAACCCACAGCATATAATTCTATATTAATGAGTGAAGAAGGATGATACTTCAGCTTTCTATACGATAGGCTAGAGAAGAAGCTATGCACATTTTGAACTTTTGGATGGAGAACACAAGAACTCCCCACAATTGTAAAAGATGAGCAAGTATAGAATGCTAAAGTTATCATTAATTGAAAATTAATTTTTCAACTTAAATACCTTAGCGGGTTGTCCTTCAAATTATATTTTAGTTAAATTAAACTGTATTGAGTGTGAACATGAGGCTGTAAATAACCGTATGTCTCAAGCTTAGTGGGTAGGCGGTTCCTTTTACAAAGAGGGAGAATCTGGTCCCAAGTAATAAAATGGTGATGGTAAAGTAGACGACATACCAGCTGTAGGTTTTTGAGGTAGATGTGTAGGAGAGGGCGCCTAGAGTTCAAAGTTGAACGGAAAATCCTTGTGAGAGCCTGCATTGATGATATTACTGAGTAGGGCGTTTGATACTCTTAGCTAATTATGTGCAACTATTATTTCTGACAGGAGTGCCATTTTATACTGTATCTGATGACTAGTTCAGAATTTAAGTCAATCTGGACTTTTCCTTACATTGGAAAAAGTCACACCTGAAAAAAAAAAAAAAAAAAAAAAAAAAAAAAAAAAAAAAAAAAAAAAAAAGAATTAAATTAAGGTTAAGTATTCTATCTGAATTATAGATGTAGACTACCGAGTGTCGAAGTAATGTGTTAAGTTGTTCAGTAATTGTTTTGTTTTGGCTTGATTCTGGTGAATACCTTGTCTGGTGTAATCTTTCATTTTATTAATGGAAGTTGGGTTTCTTATCAAAAGAGGAAGTGTCATGAATTAGGGTACTATTATACTTTGTATTTTACTATTTTGTATTAATCATTCATGTAAAATACCAAGAAATATCCAAGTAGTCACATGGTTCTTAGTGTTGCTTGCTTCAGCTGTATGTAAGGGCAGCATTGTACCAATAGTTTTATGAATCAGGACATTGTCAGTTCCTGGTGCTTGGGACATGGCTCGTTGAGCTGTGTTGAAATTTAATTTGTGTTTGATTGTTTAATGCAGCAGACTGTCACTTTTTGTATTATCTTAGAGGCGTTTGGTTAATCCTGACACATAGGCATTATTTTTCGGCTTTTTTTTTTCTTTTTTTTGTTTTATATTTTTCCTAAATTCTTGTAGTCATGAAATTTTTGGGCTTTGCAATTATAGTATGGGTTGACTAATTTTACATCTATTTTCTGGTTACGTTGGTATCTACATTTCCCCAGTCAACAGCTATCAGGATATATTGCATTGCAACAAAAAACCCTTTTATCATAGAGGCTCTGATGAAGACTCGAGTGCCATGGATGCATATATTATGCATTGTGTACGTGCTTGTCCCTATTCCTTGAAAGATACCAATATTTTTGTGTTAAGATTATATATATTGCTCTTATAATGATTAATTGAAGTGATATTATGCAGCTGAATCATGTCTTCAGAACTAGAGATCTTGTAATGAAGAATGATGCAAAAGTGTCCAAGCGTCAAGAAACTGATAATAATGAAATTCTTGCTGATGATAATTTCCTTGATCATGGATTTACTCGTCCTAAGGTATATAAGCGTCATTTTCTTGTTATAATATTTGGACTTGGATTTTTTATTTTTATGTTTTGTTTAATCTCTAAACTTGGATGTACTAGAAGTTTCACTATTATCACATATGTGGATATGGTAGCAGTACATATATTAGGGCATGTGTCGATTCATAATGGGAATTACATAATTATGGTACAATAAGTTTGAAACTTGGTTTTGTGGAATAATACAACTCTTGTAAGTTCCCCAATTTCTACAGCATAGAGTTGACAGAAAAAAGTGCATTCTGTTGCTCTTCTTGTTTGTTTTTCCTTTTATTTTTTCTAAGGAAAATTCTGTGAAGGCTTGGACGATGGATTACCTTTGGTGGGTGCAATTTTCCAAATACTTAAATGGTTGGTATTATTAGTCCACATAGTGGAGGAAAGTCAAAAGTCGGGTATTTTTTCCAATTCCTATGTGGCATTGTCTCCCGATATCCCTTCATTGAAAAGGTTGTTGTAAGTCATGATTTTATTCTTATATCAAAGAGCATGACTTTATAAAGGATTTTAGCTTTTAGTTATCTGAGTTCTTGAGATTTTTTACTGTTAGAGTTGAACTACTTGGGTGAATTATAGTTCCTTAGATTGCCTATTATAGACATTTATTCACATTGACTCATATTCATCCTAGTTACCCAAGAAGTCCATTTTTATAAAATCATCATATGGTATAGTATATCCTGTTTTCTGTACTTGCCCTGTAGTGTATCTTTCCCACTTGTTTGTAGACATGTGCGATTTCTGTTTTAAATTTAATCAAACTTGTTTCCGGAGGCTATCCACTCCTGGCTTTTCTTGTAGTTGTTGCAATTGATTCTAATGGACTTAGTGCATCTATAGTTATAAATCTTATCATCATCAAGCTGCGTATAAAGTTATCTCTTGAGACTTGATGCATATCTCTGGTATAGAGAAAAGAACATATATCTTCAAATCCAGATATTGTAATTTGCATGCTTATTGAAGAGGATTTGTTTTATTTCTTCACCAGGTTTTGATCATATTGCCAATTGCGAGCATTGCACTTCGTGTTGTTAAGAGGCTAATACAGCTTACTCCTTCAGCTCACAAGGTACCTTTTCATTTTTCATTTTTGCTTCTATAAATTATGCACAGGTTAACCCCCACAAAGTTTGTATAAGGGAATATGTGAGGATTTCTCTGGGGGGTAATAATGTGAGGAAGGTCAGATTTAATCCTATGATATGATTTTATGAGTGTTGTGCCGCTTTTGGATGGACTATTTTTTCCTGGTTTCCTGTGTATTTCTTTTCTTTTCTGCACCTCATTCAACGTTTCTGTATAAAAGGCTTTCATATTCTTTCCATATTATTAATTTATTTTCTGGCATCTCTGATACCTTTGATCTAAGAGTAAACCCCACAAGCAAGCAATGAGTAGAAAATTAAGAGGAAATTCCACTACCTTTCTACCAGGAGTCTAGGCTGTACTCCTTTTTTGGAATATTTTCATACTAATCCTCCAATACTCACTCTGCCTGTATGAGATTGCTCCACTTATGTTGGTTAAAATGAAAACGGAAAAGTTTTTATCGCAGAAAGGTCTGATAATGGCCCCTTTCCATGTCCCCCCTGAATTCTGATATTGGATGTGATTTTCAAGGGCATAGTAGTAAATTCCTCAGATGTTGATATAATTGTTGAGATTATTCTTAATGGAAGCTACATAGCTACATTCTGCTGCTTGAAAGCTCAATTGCCAAGAATTCATGTTAGCAAACTTTGTAAACCAATCCCTTAACCAAAAATGATCTTATTTACCTATGAATTAAATGACGAGGGTTTAGTCAATTGGTCAGGCCTGTTGGTTGCTCCCACATGGTCTGGGATTTGATTCCTTAAGGTACCTATGTTTATCCTCTTTTTAATACCTTATGTCCGCTTTCTCAGGTTAATGTGGAGCACATGGATCGATTTTCTAGAGAGTTCGGAACTGAAGAGGATCATGATAATGAGGACGAAAAAGAAATTCCCCCAGGTGACCATGACTACGGAAATGTAAAACCTCATAAGTCTACGAAACCTGGTGACTTTCAAGTACTTTTTGGTGGAAATAGCAAGGATGACTTCATGGTTGGCATCAAGTTCACAAAGTAAATTACTTAACTTATAATGATGATGACTTATCTGCAAATTTTATATTAAAAACCATTCAGGAAAGCATTGCTCTTATTGTTGCTTTACTAAGGGTGTTGTATAATCTTCGATGCAATGTGGAATGTATTAAGAAAGTAGTTGACATGTGAAGTTAGAATTACTAGTATCTTTTGGCCATTTAGTAGATAGTATATCTTTGGTAGACGATGTAAATTTTGAGATTTAACGAAGTCAAACAATGTGAGAAATCAAACAGTTAATTTTGGGTGCTAGAGGTGGCTTTAGAAGATTTATTGAGAGCCTCAGTATCATAGAATACACACAAAAGATACTATATGAGTATGATATAATATTGATAACTCGAGAGTATGTAAAACTCTTTCAAGAGTATGCAGGGCTTGTGGCCATGGATAGTAATCCCATTATGTCTTATGTGTTAATAAGTCAGAACGTTTGATAGGAAATTAGATTTTCAACTCATTTTTCATTCTTTGTTTTGTAGGAGGAGCATAAAGTTGTACAGTGATTTCTATACCTCAGATATGATAGTTGCCTCTTCAGTTGGTTTGTTGAAGGTAATTGATTGACTTTTTTTTTTCCCCACTTTCTGCACCTCAGATCTGATTATAATGTGATTGGCTACCACTTTCTTTATATATTATTGAGTGGACTTATTTTTCCAGAAAATTGATGAGGCTAAAGTAAATAAGGAAAAGGATGTCGACTATCTTTCTTCCATAGAGGTAAATCTCTTAGTAACATACTAACCTGTCAGTGTTTGGTAGTATGTCTGTATGGTTCTCATGAGTTTTAATTTTTATTTTTTCTGCTTCCGTGGTTCTGTTCCACTAATGGAGATATTTCTTTGATGTGGCAGGTTCTAATTGTTGATCATGCAGATGTTATAACAATGCAGGTAAAGAGTGTAATCAATTATCTACTTGAAATATATATTACTTGCAAAATTTTATATCGTCTCTTTTCTTATAAAAATTTCCAGAATTGGAACTTTTTAAAGTCAGTTGTTGAACAATTGAACCACATACCCTCTAAGCAGCACGGAACTGATGTCATGCGTATAAGACAGTGGTATGTTTTCTTGTCAATCTTTTTCCAACTGATGTGAACATTGTTTTGTGGTATGTGGTTGCATGGTAAGTTTTCCCACTTATAGTGTCCTCCCTCACACTACTAGTTACGAAATGCTTCCTATACAGCCTATATAGTTATGAATATCTCGAGAAGCGCAATGACAGACAAAATGTTGTTTTCTGAATTCCAAATTTGATTTCAAAACTAGTTATTATATCACATGTCATGAAGATTGAGATAACAATGCTTTTCATGATCAGGTACCTGGATGGATATGCATCCTTCTATAGGCAAACGATACTTTTGAGTTATTATTCAACCCCAGGTAAGATGCCTTCTTCTTTTCTTATACGGAAAAAATGTAGTTGATTAGCTATCAATGACAACTGTGAATTTATTTTTTTTTTTTTTTTTTTTTTTTTTTGTATATCTTCTGATATAATTCAAATTTAAAAAGTCAATAATATATGCATTAAAGTTAAAGGGTATTCATTACCTTGATAAAGATATGGATTCCAGTTCTCAATCTCCTTTAATCTTTATGCTTTCTTGCTGCAGATATAAACAGTTTGTTCAACAAGAACTGCAATAATTACCATGGGAAGGTGTGTTTAAAAATAAATATTTAGAGCATAAATCTTTACTTTTGACTATAAAATATCTTCTATAGCACTTCTCCTCCTACAAATTACAATAATGTTCCCACAATTCATTGCATGCTTGGTTGCTTTTGTTATTATTCTGTAAAAAATTTCTTTCCTTTTGGTAGTGTAGTATATGAATTCAGATAAGTAACTTTTTTTGTGGTTGCTTTTTCCTCTTCGGTTCAAAACTTGTTTGGAACAGATCTTTTAATCCTTTAAAATAATGAAACTGAGACACTTGTCATGTTGTGGATCATTTTTAGTTACAAGAACAGTAATGCAGGAAACATGAAATGTTATATTTCTTTGAGATAGAATGTTTGAAAACCAGCACCAGTTTGTCTCTGTTCAGACTTGGTAATTTTAGGAGGACAGGAGGGCCTGTACTTAACCAAAACTACTTTAATGTGAATGGTCCACTCTTTTAGGCTACAAACATACAAACCTGTGGGAACAGGTCTTTATTTTTCAGTTTTCCATGATGGCACCTTGTGCTTTTCCAACACCTGACATACTTGTCTGTGTCTACATATCATGATATTTTATTACTGACTAGTAGCCGGTAAGTATGTCAATCCAAACCAATAGTAACGTGTGTGTATATGGTATTCATGCTTGCATTGAGAAAATACTTTAGAAGCAAAGATTCATTGGAAATTGAATCTCCTGAAGCTAGATTTTCTAAGAGAAACTGATAACATGTTTCCATTCATCTACCCAAATCTATTTTTAAAACAGAGACCATAAATCCAGAATATGCTGAGCTTTAGTGGCCTGTAAATACTATTGTTCAGCGCTCTACTGTCCAGTGGTCCTACAATGGATCAAATGATCAGTAGAAAACATGAAATTAATGACAAGTCTATCAATTGAAAAATAGTGGTTGTTTTCCCAACAAAATGCAAAAGAAAAACTTCATTTTGTGATTTTCTCAAAACATTCAGACTGCTAATGCTTATTTTATGATTCGCAAAATTTGCAAGTCTAAAATACTTATTTTGTTATACCATAGGTGAAGTTGGTGCATGAACATAAAGGAGTTCTTCCTAAAGTTGTACTTCAAGTCCGCCAGGTATTTGTCATCCTTTATTTCCCCTTCTTCGCATGGTTAGGAAGCTGAGTGTACTGTCCAAGTATTATTTCAATTTATGTACTGCTCCTTATATCTTTCTTGTTGCTGATAATTGGAATTTTTTATTATAGTTTTTAAGGTGGATTTGAAATGAAAACATTTAGTCAGGGATATTTTATTTATTGATTTATACTTTGGGTTCGCTCGGGACCTGTTGCGGCTATGTCACACAGGGTTGAGACAACTCTTTCTCATCCCATAATCTCAAACTGGTAAATGCAGGATTTGATCCTAGGTCCCTGATTATGGCTCCTTCTAAGGTTTCATAACTCCATGTAGTAATAGAATCTCAAAATGGATATCGAATGTGTTCTTTTTTTGTTGGTGTGATTGAATATTTATCATACTAGGTTAAGTGTCACTTTACTCAGTTACTTATTAAATTGTAAGGTATGGGTTTATAAATTATTTGTCGCGGATATTTTCTGTTTGGAATAGACTTCATCAGCTAATGCGCACTGTTACTCCTCAACCTTCCAGATTTATCAGCGGTTTGATGCAGATTCAATAGAGCATTTTGATGATGCTCGTTTTGAATATTTTACTACGAAGGTTTGTTCTGCTCTCCATGATGGGTTCCTTAATGACATGAGACTTTATAATTCATTGCAATAAATATAAATATAATTTGATTTCTGAAGTGACGTAGTTTGAGTTAAAGTAGATCTTTGTAACTTATGGCTAGATAATATATGGAAACTCTGATTAGAAATTTTCTTGAATCTGAATTTCAATAGTTGTGGAACTTTTTGAATTCAAATGACTTATTTAAGATCATTGGTAAATATTAAACCTGTGTACTGTTTTACCTTTTTGTGAAACAGCATAAAAAGGCAAAGATTTAAACCTTGATAATTCGATTTGAAGATTTTTCAAAAAGAAAAGAAGCCCATATATACACCCTGTTCCCTCCTACTCTAGTCATCGAACCTGCTGCATCTTGAAAAGTTCAATTTTGCACTTCACTGATTTACTTTATTTCTTCCATTTTTGCTCAAATTTTGAGGTGTTTGTTGTGTTTCTATTTTCAGGTTTTCCCAAAAATAAAAGATTCTATTGAGGTAATTATTTTAAGCCTAAAATTTGCACTTATTGCAATATTAGTGTTTAAAATTTTTCCATGAATGATATCTTCTTTGGAATTTTTCATTCAGGGTGGGATTATGATATTTATAAGTTCTTACTTGGAATATGTTCGAGTTCGGAATTTTTTGAAGTCGCAGAGTGCATCCTTCTGTTTGCTTCATGAGTGAGAATCTGTCCTATGTATATTGTGATGAGTTTCTTTGCGTGGTCACAAATGTGCTGATGAAGTATATGTTTCTTTGCTCCTTAGATATGCAGAACAAAGTGATATTTCTCGTGCACGGGTTCAGTTTTTTGAAGGAAAGCGGAAGATCATGCTTTACACTGAGAGATCACATTTTTACCACAGATACAAGGTAGGTTCTTTAGAGTGTTTTGTCCACTGGTCATGTATATGTGTGCTCTTCTATATTGGAGACACTACATTGTTGTCTATTGTTGCTTAAATTGGAAAATACTTTATGGAAGATTGAAGTCAGTCTTAATAGCCTCTTTGCTGACACATCCTTTTTATTTTTGTGGTGAATAGATTCGTGGAATTCAGAATTTAATCATCTATTCACTGCCAGAGAGAAAGGAATTTTACCCTGAGGTGAGCACGATATAAATCGCCCCTTCTCTTTAATTGATATTTTATATCATTCAGTTTCAGATACAGTCATATACTTGGTCTTTTTGTAAACCAAATGTTCTTTTGATTTTATCACAGGTTGTTAATATGATTGATGGGTCCCATGACATGGCATGCACAGTGCTCTTTTCTCATTTTGATCTCCTTCGGGTATTTTTTTTTCCTCTCTTTTTAAATGTGCTGAATTCTGCTCTGATGTGGATGAGATAGGGGGTAGAGTTGAACTTAGTAGGAGATTTAAATGTTTAAGAACTCAGTGATCAATCTGTTATACTATAAACCAGCATGGTTATCTTCAATTAAATAAAGAAACTATCAACCATGAGATGTGGTGTGGTGGTAGCTCACCTCATCCCTTAACCATGAGGTTGGGAGTTCGATCCCCGCCCATGGGAATGGAGCACATTTCGTGGCCAGCTGTTTACCTCCTTAGGGAGAGCTCCCGCAGCGAAAGGGATTAGTCACTACTGTCGGCGGTGGACACCCTTGGGTCTAACCAAAAAAAATAAAGAAACTATCCACAATGAGCTTATATCTCAAGTGGTTAAGAGCAGTTACCCATGCACCCGAGGCCTTGAATATCAGAAGAAAAACAAAACATTATATTCACTAGGTTTTTTCTTTTTTTGCTTTTTAGCTTGAGAGAATTGTGGGAATGGCTTCAGCAAAGAGAATGGTGACATCAAAAATGAGTATGTTTTCTTTCTCTTGAAGACTTTGGTGAGCTCAAGAAGCCCTTAGAAATTCAGAATATCAGGCACTTCCAGCACCGCAATGGTAGCTATTCTGTCGTCTTCCAAACCAACCTTCATAAGATACGAGCAAAGGAAGTCTTGATTTTTGGATATAAGCATGGGGGTTCAGAAAGGAAGTTCAAAGAAATAATGCATTGTAATTTAACCTTGTATTCTTGACTTATTTTTTTAAGCAACAGGACAGGTTTGATATTCTAGGTTGTTGTACATGTATAATTTTTTATAGTGAGCAAATGCCAATTGACAATTTTTTTGAATTTGTTTTTTCTATTATCTGTGGTGATACCGAAGGGTACTTTGATTGTTCAATACAAAAATAATGCATATTTTTGTAGGATAAATGTGATAAAGAGTTATCAATCCATTGTTAATCTGCATTTAACTTAATCCAACGGATTTAATTAATTGTTCAGATTATATGATCTGATATTAATCCAATTTGTTTATAAATCATTTAGTTTATAACACTTTCGTTTTTGGGTTTTTTGGGTTTTCTTTTTATAGGAGATAGTGAAAACATACATGATAAATGATGAAAATGACAAACTTGAAAGAAAAACTATGGCGAAAGGAAAGGTGAAGAAAAATGCATGAAACAAAAATTTGAAAGAAAAAACACTTTGAATTGCTTTCAATTTTTAGTTTTTATTTTATCTTAACATTTTATATACGTTTTTCATTCATCAATTTAAAATTTGAAAGCCAAAACAAAAAAAAAAGGGAAAAACTACATAAAACCCCCCAAATTATAGGGTCATTTTCAAGTTCATACTCACCTTTAGAGCACTTCCACCCACAAGGGTTAAGTCTAAGGCAAGGGCTGCCACTATTCATGTGAATAGTGACAACATTTGCATTTGTGGTTCCACCCATGAGAGCTAAGTCTAGGGCAAGTCTAAGGCAAATATTATTCATATGAGATATGAGGAGATGAATTTGTATATAGTTTTTGGTGTGAGAAGTAAAGAATATGCCTAGGTATTTATTTAAAAAAAATTCTGGAATTTTTGGTTTTTTTTTCCTTTTTTTCTTTTTTTTTGGGTTGCTGACGTCATTATGACGTCAGCATTGCATCAGTTTGCCTTGGCAGCAGCTCAGGCTGAATTTGCCCGTGGGCTTGCCTGGGCTCATGGGACCTAGCTCTTGCCAGGGTTGGCCCTTGCGCGCTAGAGCTGCTTCATTCCCCCCCTGGGCTGCCTTTTGCTCGGTTTTGAAGCAAGGGTGGACTTGCTCTTAGGGAAATTTACGAGTACATACTCAAACTCTCGAAAACCCTACAAATTGCCCATTTCGTTACACAATTCGTTAATGAATCTATTAAATGATGATGGGATCCCGAGCCTCTGCATTTAGCATCGGTATATTTACTTTACACGCATTTAGAAGAATGCAAACCATTAGATTAATCTAATAATTTTAATAATTCCAGATCAACCAACCTATATTAAACTAAAAACTAATTAATTGCACCACATTATTTCCCTAGCAATGCAACCTTCCCCTCTTCCTTCCTCCCCCTCCCTCAATTTGCAAAACAGAGGGAAGGAATTATGTACATGGTATTGTACAATCATGGAGAGAGGAAGAAATGGATTTTTCATTTATGATTTTGCAGGTGTAATTTTGATGTTGAGACAATAGTATTAAAGATAATTATTTGATATTATCAGTTCCTAGGCTTTGTTGAGAGTCACTTATCCTAAATAGGGAGGGAGGGAGGGAGACAGAGGTGGCACCCATGGCTGGCAGTGTGGGGTAGGGTGTAATTGCAATTTGCTTGGGAAATAATAAGGTGCAACTAATTAGTTTTTAGTTTAATACAAGTTTGTTGACGTGGACTTATTAAAATCATTAGATTAATCTAATGGTTTGCATTCTTTTAAATGATTGTAAATGCACCGATGCTAAATGCAGAGATTCGGAATCCATGATGACGTAGTGAACATGGGCCCCATGATGATAATAAGGTGCAACTAATTAGTTTTTAGTTTAATACAAGTTTGCTGACGTGGACTTATTAAAATCATTAGATTAATCTAATGGTTTGCATTCTTTTAAATGAGTGTAAATGCACCGATGTTAAATGCAGAGGCTCGGGATCCATGATGATGTGGTGAAAATGGGCCCCATTCTCAGGTCCCAACGCAGAATTTTCTCAAGCCACCACCAAAACCAACCAAACTTAGAGAAAGGTAGAGGGAAAAAAACCTATACAATTGGGTGGAAAAATTGCAGAGAAAAAAAGAAAAGAAAAAAAGAATAACGATTACAAGAGTTGATTGTTAAGTTTCATTAAGCTTCTTTTTGCCTTTTAAATTATTTCGTTTGACAAAAAGAAAATAATAATTAAAGGGTATTGTAGGAATAATGGTTGGTGAAAAGATAGGATTATGTTTTTTCAAATTTACATGATGGATAGGAAGATAAAGTGAGTGGGGAAATAGGAGAGGGGGTGGAAATAACAACACTTTTTCTTGGTGAAGCATATTATATTATGTTGTTCGCTCCTGGAGTTCAACTGGTGAGAGGGAGAGTAGAGTAACAGTTCAAAATTAGGATAAGTTAAGGCTTTTTTTCCGCTAATACAATAACATGTTAAGAAATGGAAGAAAAAGTACTTAACCATAAAATGCTAGTTAAAAATCTCATCGAGTGCAAAGGACCCATTAGTACTAGTGTAGTAGTTTAGAGCAATTATCCTCAGGCAAGGTCCTGGGTTAGAGTCTTAGCATTCGTGGTGTGTTTGAGTTTAATATATTATCACATATCTCAATAAGAAAGGTCCTAATAAAATAAAAATATCTGAGTCAAAATTGATATTATTCGTGTTTGACACCGGCCAATTTGTTTTATTCATGTGTTCATGTTAAGTATCGGTCAATTCAGCCCGCAAAGTTTGGTATTGTAATTAGGAACGATAATTTAACTCAATTCTTATTTCGCTTTAATGAGACGGGGATGAAAATAAAACTCCACTTTTTTAACTCTTGTAATTTACTATTTAAGCTTTTTTTTCTCGTTGCTTTTTTTCTCGTTGTAAGATTATACATCGCATTTTACGTGTTATTACACTAATTTACAATTTTTAATCATTATTAAGGAAAAAAATACCAATCAAACAAAAAAAAAGGGAAAAAATATTTAAATAAAAAAAAATAGTTATGGGGCTCGTTTACTTGTTAGGGTGCGCATTGACGGTTGACTGACAAGAACGAGAATTGTAATGACAAATCCATCCCTAATCACATTCAGAAAATTACTAAGATCAGACGGACAAATAGGACTTTTCGCGAGTGCCTGCTAGGGTTTTGGCATCGCATTCTACATAAAGAGCAAATCACTAAACGAAGTGCCGTTCATGCCCGCAGTGTATCCCGAGTCTCAAAAGCACTGACATCTGAAACTTAGGGTTAGGGTTTCGATTCGCCATGGGAGTGTTCACTTTCGTGTTGAGGACCTCAGGAGGAGAGTGGAGCGCGAAGCAGCACAATGGAGACCTTGAGGCCTCTGCTGCCTCCACATTCGAGCTCCAGAGGAAGCTCGTCCAGACCGCTCTCTCTACCGATTCTTCCGGTGGGGTCCAGACCTCCTACTCTCCAGTCACTCCCACATCAGCCGTCTTCCAGGTCTTTCTCTACTGAATCTCGAGTTTTTGTTTTTGATCGTATGATCCTATGCCTTCGATTTCTTCAGTGTTGTGTGTTTTTTTATTTTTTTATTTTTATTTATGGTTTTGAGAAGACAAGGAAATTTGAAATCTGGGATTTTTCTTTGATTTGTTTGGCTGCTTATTGTTGGTTTTTGATGGGTTTATCATATTTGGTTTGATCGTGCATATGGGATTGTTTTGGAGCTTTTTCTTTTGATTTGTGATTTCTGAAAATTGCAATATATTATTGCAAGAAATTGAATGAAATTACTGTTTTACATGGAAAATAAGCTCTAAATGATCAAACACCCATGTATTTGGTTTATGCTTCAAATTTAATAAAAATCATGTTGCCCAAATTGTTCACATAAGCACTCTCGCTTGTTTTTGTTTTAATTCTATTGATATTGTCTGTTGTTCTGAAAAGCCAGAGTTTAAAAGCACTTCCCCATGCAATATGTTTCGTATGGCAGTTTTGTGTTGAGAAAAACCTTGGAAACCATTGGTTTAAAGAGGACCAATTGTGGTTGATATGTGATATTAATGCTTGCTAATCCCTTTTCAATGGTTGTAGTGTTGTATTACCGAATCCATAACTTGAAACTTCTTTGGTACAGGTGATCGTTGGTGGTGGCGGCGGCGGTGGTGCCTTTATTGGAGGTGGAGCTGCTGCAGCTCCTGGAGGTGGTGCGGCAGCTGCAGAGGCTCCTCCAGTCGAGGAGAAGAAGGAAGAAAAGGAGGAGAGCGATGATGACATGGGATTCTCTCTCTTTGATTAATCTAGTCGTAACTCAGTCGTTTTTGGGTTATATATTATGTCATAATCTTACTAGTTTCCTTTTTCAACTTGCATGTAGTGTTGAATTTTTGTGAATTGTTGGATAAAAATATGAGACATGAAAAGTTTTGTTTGAGAAATTTTTGTTAGACAATTTGATGGCACTCTTTAAATGACTGTTGTTGAAAGTTTTATCTCTGTTTGGCTTTGTTTTCTGTATTTCTCATCTATTTAGCTGTTTATATCCAGCTTAGTTTTTGCTCCCGTAATTCTTCACCACATTTTCTTTGGTGGTGGTTACAACGTTCCATACAAGTAAAAGAGTCGTCACTATTTAGCCTTATTTTGCAGTGAAGGTATATATGTTCTGTGCAGCCATTGAAGTCTGTCCTGTATGTACTGCGTTCCTAATTTGATTTTTAAGGTTCCCAACCTCGGTTATGTTTGTCCTATAATACCAAGCACAATGGCTTGGTGCTTGTTATTTGGGCGATAAATTTGAAAATTGAAGGTTCAATTCAACATCAAAATTGATGGTAGTGACAATTTTTCATGGGTGTGCGTTCATTTCGAAATCAATATAATTTAGCCATCTGCATTCAATTCAATATAGATTGGATTGGAAAATCACAATCCAATCTGATTGGATCAGAAGTTTAATCTAATCAAACACATTAATAGACGTAAATGTAAAATATAAATGAAATGCGAGAAAATTATTTTTATTCTATAATATATTGCATAACTCCATATAAATTTAATGGCTTAAAATGGCTTAAAATGTTTATAGCTTTTTCAATTATAAGTACTTACACAAGCAAAATGAGTATGAAGCTAACTAAATTGGATTGGATTCTCCCAAGCAAATCAATCATCCAATCCAATAATATCAGTCTTGGAAACTAGGGATCCAATCCAATATGCCAAATCATCAAAACCGATTAAAATTGGATTGGATTGGATTGGATCTTGCACACCCCTAATTTCTGAGCTGCAAATTCCGAAAAAATAAATGCCAAACAAATAGAAGAGGAAAAAACTTTGAAGGAGTTGAGCTGGCTCAAATGCGAAGTGGCGTATTGCAATCCGGATTATGGTACCGTCAAGGGTTTACCAAGCCAGTCTTCCAAGAAAATATCATCACAAAACGATGAATGCAGAGGTGAAAAGGAATTAATAACTATATTCATTCATCAAACAAGGCTTTTATTAAGTTGCTCAATACCTTGAAACAGAACAAAGTTTCTCTTTTCTCAAAACTGTTAAGGTTACAGGAATAGTCATATTACAACCAGACGTCCATTACCTGGAGAGATCTGTATATAAATTGCTTATGGCCAGTATTCTAAAGCACTATTGAGAAAAAAGGAAATGCATTTGCCGAGCCTATATAAACCGCTTCAAGCACACACCAACGCCAGAACACTCAAAATTTAGGCCTGCTGTAAGATCAAAACCGAGCCTTACGTTTCCGAGCTGTGTACTTTGTGTCTGGTGGAACAACATTTCCTTTTTTCCTCATCTGTTCCTTCTTCTTTATTATCCATTCTCTTCCCTTGCCTTTCTTTGTTATTTTCTGTTTTTTCTTGGGCCTGTGCCTGTCTGAGATTGAAACCTGCTTCACATAAACAATAACACATCAGAAATTCAAAAATAAATAAATAGCTATGGTTTAGTGCTTTGGAATTTACATTAGCCTTGTGGAATAATAGAAAGGTTATACCGGAAGAGGACAACGTAGCTAGCCAACATCACCTTGACTAAGCAAAACAATGAAGATAGTAAATGCATCAGTGAAAACTTACTGTCTGATTGTCTTCATCTTCACTATCATCGTCAGAGGAACTCTCACCATCTTCGCCTTTTCCATTGGGAGTGGATGTGCTAATAGATGGTGGGCCACAGGTGAGGACAAGGTATTCTTTTCTTTTCTTGGAACTGTTACAAGATAATTAATGTGAACTCAGAAACTAACCCTTTTTCCTATAAATCCTATTCATGCAATACTCTCTTAAAAGCTTCACTCATTGGGTTAAGTTACGGAAACACATTCCAATTTTTCCTCTGATCATCCAGGCAAGGAAAATATTAGATTGAAAGGAAATCAAAAGAGGACTAGTGAAAGGTAAAATGATGAAATGAACATGTAGACAAGAAAATGTATAAAACCATTGTACCATACAATGATAGTGCAACTTGTAAAATGGAAGAGAAAAAGGTTATTTATTTATTTATTTAAGACCTGAATTTCTTCAGGAGCTAATTCACAAGTCAACAGCAATGATGAGCAGTTCAGCAACCATTCTTTACATGTTTATTGCCTTCTGTATTCTCAAGAAAATAAATAACACGAAATACACAGAGATGAATAACCACAATGCCTTTGATATTTTCATTTATTCTGAAATTGTCTAATTATTACATCAACATCTCTTAACAAATCCATTCTATGTCCCATAAATTAGGGTCTTGTTACTCCTTTCGAAATTACCATTATTTCATTTATCAATTATAGCACGCCTTAAGAACTAGTCAAGGATGTCAAATTTCCATGCAGAATAAAATTTTAAACTACATATCTGTTCATATTTACTGGCATTGTTCAGATCTTTTTGTGCAGTGCATGGGCCGATCTGATATATAATATTGTTTTTTTAAAAGCTGATGTGGAAAGCCTGAAAAGGTTCATGTACCAGGAGTGGTTACAAGGTGTTTGTCAGTAGATATATAGGCTCATGCATGAGCAAAGACCTTAGAGAGCAATTTAGTAACCACATCGTTTCAGACAAACTAACAGGCTATCATAAGATTTCTTTCATTGGTTGCATACCTGTTGGGATAATCAACAACTACACCCCCAGCAAATCCAGCACGCATTGCAGAACTCAAAATCAGCTCTCGCTGGTCTAGATTTTCAGGATACACTTGAAATGCTGCTCTTGCTCCCCTTGCTAAGCATCTGTACAATGATCCAAAGAAAGCCCTGCAAAAGAATTTAAGACAAAAGGCTCATACTGCAATCAAGAAGAGATTACAGGCTCAACCTATGTTTAATGTGGCCAAGACCAATAAGATCCTGATACACCTATCTTCATATTTCAAGCATACAACAATATAGAATTATGATGAGGATATAAAAACCAATAAGAAACACCACATACTTCAATCGTAATCGTGGATTATGTGTGGACTATCAGCATTGCACAACCACTGCATTCCAAAAAAAAAGAAAAAAAAAGTAAAATTGGAGAAATATTCATAAAGTAGACCATACCACACTATCAACAATCCATACATGAAGTAGTATCAGTAATTACAAATGAAGAAAAAACAGGTTTAAAATAGCAATTTTAATTCAGGAAAGCTTTAAGGATTAGACAAACCACAATCATTTAGAAAATGGTTGTTCATATATTAAAAATAGAATGGAAATAATTGGCTTTTAAGCTCTCAACTAGTGGAGTATAAAAATACTCCTGACAAGGGGCACATGCTTACATAGAAAAAATAAAGCTAAATATTAATTTCATTGTAAGTATTCGCGAGTAAACAATTGAAAAAAAGAAGAAGGCAAACCTGAACAGCTGAGATACTTATGGCTCCATCAATAACTCCTGAACGAAGTCCTAAGCCCTGCGAAAATAAAAAATTAGGACTGAACCATAACATTTTGCTATAAAAAAGAAACAACTTTGGGTTGAACGCATTTCTCTTTTCTTTGTTTTTTCAATGATTACGCTGAATTGCAAACAAGATATAAGCAAACATATCAAGTGCTTGAAGTGTGATACCTGACCCATGTCCCCAAGCAAAAGGTCACCCTCAACCTCATTCTCCAATGCAACATCTCCAATTATCAAATAAATGAAATGCCCATTTAGAAACAACCCATGGGAGCAAGCAAAGAAGCTCAAAAGCAAAACAAAAGTTAGAAACAAAGTATAAAACAAAAAAACATATACCAAGCATTGACCGGGAAATATCTAAACCAATCCACTGATGCCCACTCTCTGACAATGTATCTCCGCTAAGACCCGAACCACAACCTACAGTGAAAAGCTCAAGCACTCAGCTTTTTCATTTGTTCAGTGAATAAAACTAAAACCCTTTTTCTTTTTGACGAAAAATTGAAAGATGAGCTGCTGGGTTTCGAAAGATACCAATGTCGAGGAGCAACCTGGGGACGCCATCTTCAGGCAAAGAGAGAAGCTCGAGGGCTCGGTGGGAGAGCTCTGACTGAATTTCCATGATTCGAGAATTGCGAGTGTACTTGCGAGCCTCCTCTTCATTGTAGAAAATCTCAGGTGGAGCTTGCAGCTCTGGCCGAGACATGATTGCTTTCTGTTCTGTTTCTTGTTTCGCAAAACACAACAAAATGAAAGAGAGAGGGAGGAGACGGATAGAGCTTAAACCCTAGCACTGTGGCATGGGTTTACAAGCTTCAGGCTTGATGGGCTCAGATTTAAGTCTCTGAAGTCCAACTTTGTAGCCCAGTTTGGGCCCATTGTTTTCATTATTCTCAAACCAAGCTTTTTGTTGGTGTTTTGTTTTTCCTTCCCAAGCTGTTTACTTGAGCATTATTTATACAATAAGAAGAATACCGTCAATCATCAATACTTGCAAAAACATTACAAGATCATCTCCTAACATGGTAGGCTTTTTGACTTGGATAGAAAGCATAGATCCAATCCAAAACCAGAACAAAAATGAGAAAAACTAGAGTTGAGATTTCTCATACTAGCAAGATGAGTGACACGCACTAACATATGTTACAAATGTATGGGTTAGATTTTGTAACGCGTGTTATGCTTTCACTTGACAGTATACTCGGTATTCTGCCATGCAAGTAAAATTGCATTTGAACTTGTAAAGATGGACACCCAACTCACCTACAAAAGGTTAATATTTTCCTTGAACTCAAGCACCCAACTCATGAGAGCATAAGAGCACTTCCAGCAGTTGGAATCTTGCCATGGCAAGGGGGGGGCTAGGGCTGACACTATTCATAGGAATAGTGTCTGCCCTTGCAAAAAGTAAGTTCCACTTCCAGCAGTTGCCATGGCAAGGGGGGGTACTATTCAATTTTTTGTTTTTTTCACAAATTTGTTTACCTAAACAATTAATTTGGACAATATATTCGGATGAGATTTTCTGATAAAATATTCGGATAAGATTTTCAGATAAGATTTTCGGTTTCAAATTTCAGATAATTTTTTTTTCAAATTTCAGATTTTCAAATTTAATGCTTTGGTTGTGGTTATTTTTTTTATAAATTGAATTTTTTGAATAAAAAGGAATTTTATTTAATAGTTTCTTTGGTAACTCAAAGAAAACTAATACTACTAATACAATAAAATACATGACTTCCAACTAATTTTTAAAACAAATCATTAAAATACAATGAAATGAAAAGGCAAGCAAACTAACTTAAGGGTTTTCATCATTTAACCAATCCGTATTGCTAGGTCCATCATCACGAAAAAGTTTTCGTCTCATAATAGCCTTTCGTTCTAGCTTCCAATATTGTTTTGTTTCAGGAGACATGTGGCTTGTATCCATGGCCATGGTTTCCCGATCCTTCCTTTCTTCATTTTCTTTGCGTCGATACTCCCTTTCTTTGCGTACATACTCCCTTTCTTTAGCAAATTCTATTGCCATTGCCCTTTCATCTTCTTGGACTTTCTTGTCTATTTCAATTCTCAAGGCGCTTTGCCTTGCAATTTCCTCTAAAAATTTAGAGGTATTACTCGTAGAATTAACTCCTCTCTTTGCCTTTGCCGCCTTCCTCCCCATAGGCCTCGGCTCCTTTTGAATGGGTAAGTCTTCACTCATAGGGGATTCCATAGGCGAATCCGAAGCTTGTGAATCATGAAGTGGCGTCTCGTTTAACACCACCGTTGGAGTTGTTGGAATAATGCTAAATCTTTTACAATGCTTCACCACCTCCCAACATTGGGTATGGGTGAAACTTTTTTTCCCTAGTCCAGTAGCACCATAGAACATTTGAGCTTGCACAAATCTATATAAAAAAAAATTGAATAAGCAAGGAACTTAAAAAAAAATTGGTAATGCAAAAAAGATAAACATATGAATGAAAATCCAAGAAATATTAACAACATATAAAGAATGCAAGAAACATTCAAATAAATATTAGAAATACAAGAAATATAAAAAAAAATATAAAAATTGCAAGAAACATTCAAATAAATATGGAAATACAAGAAATATTAAAAACATATAAAGAATGCAACAACCATTTATATAAATATTAGAAATACAAGAAATAAAAACAAAATATAAAGAATGCAAGAAACATTTAAATACATATGGAAATACAAGAAATATTAACAAAATATACCAATTGCAAGAAACATTAAAATTAAAATTAATAGGACATTAAAATTAATAAAATGAAAATTACAAGTAATTACCTCATCGCTTAGATTTTCCCCGCTTGCATGGTTATTCATCGCTTTTGTGAGGGCATCTCTCCATTTCCCCAACTCTTTGTTGAGAAGTTTCCACCGACTTGACAATGCGCTTTCCGTACGGGTGGAACCCGATCTTTCAACAAATTCGTGAAGAATTTTTTTCCACATTTGACTGAATTTCATCTCATTACCCGATATGGGATCATGACTAATTTGGATCCAACACTCACACAACAAGACATCTTCCATGACGCTCCATGCCCCTCCGGTTTCTTGAGAAAAAGCCATAATGATAGAGAAAAATTATACTTAAAAATGAAAACAATTTAGAGTAAAAAGTGAAGAAAATATTAAATAGAAAGTGAAAAATAGTTGGAGAAGGAGAAGATGTATGAGAATTTGTTGTTAAAACTGAAGAGTAGGTGTTGGTATTTATAGAAAAAAAGTCAGTATTTTTGGGATTTTTTTTAAAATTTTTACGATTTTTTTTCATCATTTTTTGCCTGGAAGCTGCTTTTGCCCGCCCCCTCCCCCCCCCAGCCCGAGCCCGAGCGGGCTGGGCTGGAAATGCTCTAAGGGGAGGGTGAGGGCGGAGGGACAGGGAGTTGCAGCTTCATCTTCTTTTTTTTTTCTTTTTAAGTTTTAAGTTTTGTATATTTTTCTCACTTTTCTGACATTTTTAGAATAAAAATTTGACCACGTGCAAGTCACGGTATTTTAACTTGCAAAGATAGAAAAAAATGGTATAGAGAATGATTCTCATTTCAATCGATTTATTCAATTTACGGATTATTAAAAAAAATTGAATAAATACTAAATTACATGATTTTAGATCAATTAAATATTGATATTTCTATGCAATGATTAGTTCTAACAAATTCGTTCATTGAAATTCATTGTAACTATCCATGCATGATAATAAAAATGAAAGGATTTTAAGGAAAAAAAAAAAAAAAACACGAAATTTTTTTATTTTTTAAAAAATTTAAAAAAAAAAAAAAAAAAAAAAAAAAAAAAAAAAAAAAGGGGAGTAAGGGACACCCAACCCAATTGACCTATAAAAGATTAATATTTGCCTTGAACAAGCACTTGACTCATGAAACCATGCACACTTTTCCCCTTATTTATATCAATATTCACTCGCAAGAGGAGCCTGAGAGCCTTTTCAATACATCGTTTTGGATTTTGGGGCTAAAGAAACAAAAAATTTTGTAGCAGCATATGTCACCTCACAATGGCATGCATAAAAGTTGCCCCAAAATAAGGTGTTCAGAATGTGTTAGCAGCATCTCAGCTATCATACAGCCAAGATCGCATAATGAGAAATGTATTGACATTTTAACTCGTGAGAGCACTTCAAGGGGTTTTCCTTATTCTCTGTTTGTTTTGTTTTTTTTTGTTTTTTTTTTTGGTATGAACCAAATTATTATTGCTAAAGAAGCCTCACAAATCTCAGAATTATTGCTAAACAATTTGTTAGACATCTTTTAAAAATTGATGAAAATAACCATGAGGTTACAAACTGTCACTACAATGATGCTTGGGTTTCAATTTAGAAAAGATTTTTATTTGTTGTCTAAAACACCAATTTACCCTTCATGTACGCCAAAAGAAGGGACACTTAATGCTACATCAAAAGGGGTTTTTTAATTTATTTTTTTTGGGTCAAACATCGAAAGGGTTTTAGGGTTTAGAGTTTAGTCAATTTTCGAAAGACTTGATGCAAATTGTCGGACCCCAAATCCACAGGTGTACAAAACATAATTGACCCAAAACGTTGGCACTCGTATGTGCTTCAAAGGTCATGACTCCGGAAATGAACAGGATATTGTGCTAATTTTTATATGGTCATAAAGATCAAGGCCTACTGAAATCTGAAACCAAGAAAAAGAAAAAAGATCAAGGCCTACAACTTATCATGAAAGCCACACATCTGAATAATGTGCTACATAAATTTACAGCACCAAGGTTTTCCTACCAATTACTCCATCCAATTGAGTTGTATTGCAATCAAATCATCCTAAAAGTATTTAAGTATATATTGCTTGACGATAAACAGATATTTACTTGCAACTATCAACCCGATCCACATCAACCCTCTCTTATCGAATTGCACATGACAACTTCGCACATACTGAGGCGGCACGGCCACAATCTCATGCCATTCTCTTCAATTGCCAGGGGGATGCACATTACCTGCATGCTTTGACAAACCACAGATTCACTGAAGGTAAATTCTTGTTTAATTCCCTTTGTAGGCATCACGATCCTGATTGATTTTCTGTAGGCCAAAGAAAAACAAACCGTACAGTCAAAAGACAGAAACACGAAAATACTTTCAAATGAAGTCTCTGCTAAGTTTGACCCTGCATACCACTTGGAGATGCTCAAAAATTTATTTCAGTGTCATTTATTATTCCGGATCACCAAGTAAAGATGTTTAGAGAATAGTTACAAAGCACGACCAAAAGCTAAAAACAAAAACAAAAACAAAACTAGCAAAGTCGCCAGGGGGGCGGTACAGCAGACACTCATCATCAAAGATTATTATGCCATACATTTAACCGTACACGCAGATTAAACATAGATGCTTGCATCCGGAAGGTAGTATGCAACTTAGGCTGCATGGATTTTCCTAGTCAATGAACTGAAAAAAAAAGAAGGAAATTTCAAATGCAGTTGAGGCTACTTCAACTGCATTTTGCTCATTTCCACTACCTCTCCAAGTTAATGTAGTGTTCAACATGCATGCTCCCTATTTAAATCCATGCAGCATTAATACAGCAAGAGTGGTTTAAAGTTTAAGAATACACACCTTCTCCAAAAAGCTGCTCAAACCGAGACACAATGTGTTTCCCATAAGTGTACTTCTTCAATGCATGAGTATGAGCCCTTATACGATTAATTAATATCACCCGCTGACTATCAGTACAGATTTCAAGAGCCTTCTGGATCACATAATTTGCAAATTGGTCCTTCATCATTACCTAAGACAAATCAAACATGAAGGTAAAGAAAGTACATTGGAAGCTCCAAATGCAACACAAAATATGCAACTGACCTGAAAATCCAATTACTTGTACCGCTCTTAAAACTACAAATTGACATATATAAGTGTGCAAGTGTGTGCACTAGTGCATGAAACATACAGAATATAACTGAAGGATTGTTCTTATAGGACTGGGACTGAAGGATCAAGAGAAATTATTCATACCAACAAATTCTCATTTCCTTCATTGTGCCCAACAATCTCCCTAACTAACCGTTCCCGTTCTGCAGCACCACCATACTCCAAGCATTTCTCAACAACATTTGAAGCGAACTTGTGTTGGCTCAGCTGTACAATATGACCCGACAACTTGCTTATAATTTGGCTTCTTTCATGAGGTTTTCCCCTCTCTAATACATGCTGTCAACCATCAAAAACATTCATTAGCCCAACAATTGACACAGATCAATCGCTTGAAAGATAAATAAAACATATATGCAGTTGGAAGCATAAAGTACATCCAGAAGTTTAGTTGGCAATAAGTATTGCACATTAGAGCAAAGGATATTTCATATTTGCAATATAACTGTCTCAACTTTCAGCTATTTGGGGAGAAAAAAGCCTACGCATATACATGCATACATAGAGTTTTGAGGAACCAAATAGGCACGAGAGAGAGAGAGAGAGCACTTCAACACCTCTCCTGTTGTCATTTCACATAGAAACTTGTGTGTGTAGCAGTGTAAGTATGTATGTGTGGCAGGCAATTTCTGGAGTAGACTCAGACACCGAGCAGCAAGTACAGCTGTAAATCAGCTCTATACAACTTGAGTTCATATCGAGTTTGGGTCATCTGAACTCAGCTTGTAATAAAAGCAAGCCAAGCCTCGGCGCGTAAAGCTCATGAACATCTTGTTTATAAGAAGTTTACTTGGAATGAAGGATCTTTTGAATGATGATTACAAAGCAATTCTATCAAAATCAAAGCATTTTGTTTATTTTCTTTTCTTTGATACTTATATGGGCTATGTCTTGTTCTTAATGTACCATGTTGTGCTTCTACTTTTAAAGTTAATGTTGAAGAATGTATTTTTAAAAAAATATTAAAGACCAATGTCCTTGCTGATAAATCTTAATTATTATGTTTATACCTATATTTTTATTTTTCTTATAATAAAAAAAATCTATATTTTTATTCACTATTTAATCATTAATCTTTCCCAGCTTGAAGATATTGTTATATAAGCGGGCCAACTTATTACTGTAAATTAGTTTGATACAGCTCGAGCTCGATTGTCCTTTCATCTTGTTCAAGCTTGGCTCAGCTCGGCTCATTTACACCCTTAGCCACAAGCCCACTCCTGTGGACTACTCAACTTCAGGAGTAGGCATTCCTTTTCAAACTATTTAGACCATCTGAATTATTCTTACTATTGGAAGCCTCTTTCTTCACAAACTAAAGCCTCTGTCAAAAAAGTTACCCAAACAATTATTTGCATAGCATAGTGTACTATCTCATTGCTTACTCAGCAATATACTTAGTCATTCTGTTGAATTTTGAACCTAAGACCTAACAAATAAACTATAATCTTTAGGCAGAAGCTGAAAAGAGATTTGAACAGGAGTCTTACTGAAACAATTAAGGATTCTAGAACTGCCAATGTATGGCTATCCTCTTCCTATATGAGAGCGAAAATTCTCGTTATAAACATGTGACTGTGCTAGCTCTATATTAAGAATTACCACCAAGAAGTCGACTGAGTTGCCGGTATGCATAAATAATATCTTTAGAAAGGCACCTTAACTCATCAGAGACAGACTAAGTCATAATTAGATAGTAATTGTAGTACAGAGCCAAATACAAACCTGGGTTACATAATTGCCATACTGGTCCTGGGCAAGAGCACAAACAGACTCCAAGATCTCATCAACTATAAACTGGCATTGCAGCTCATCTGTACAATGCTCCAGAACTCTCTACAATGAACCAAACACAGGAAACAAGTTCATTCTTTGTGTGATAACCAAAGGAAGAACATTAAAGGGGGGAAGAGAAGTGCGAAAACCCCTCAAGTTTAGTATACCTGTATAACACGACAACCATAAGGGTGCATTGAAAGTGTTGCAACTTGACCATGGAAAGCAGATATTATAAACCCAATTTTTTCTGTCGGAATGCTCTCAATGCACTTTTGTATGACATGGTTTCCATTTTGATCACGAACACATCTCATAACATGTCCATCCAGTTCATGTACAAGCTGTACTTTCTGTTCAATCTCAATAACCTCAAGTGCCT